ATGTAAATCTAACTTTATAAGAATCTTCCTGGAAATGCAAGAAAAAATTAGATGTAAAAAAATGAGGAAATTTTATTTTCTGAGATTTGCAAAACACTAAGACAACTACAACTACACTACTCTGTAATAAAGTGTAGATCATATTTTTATTTATTGTAAAATTTTTAAGAGCAAAAATGCAAAATATATATACGATTCTATACAAGCTCTTCTAATAATTTAAAAATATCATATAACAATGCAATCAAAAAATTCAATTAATAACTTAAAAGTGTCATAGGAAAGTATAAATTTCTACGAGATAGAAATTCAACTAAACAGAGAATACTGAATCTTAGTTTATAGCTACAAGCTATAACTAACTACAAATTGTAAGCCAATTTTTCATACAATACTGGATGTTTTTCAGCATAAATATCCTAACATCTTTGTGTAAATAATTGGAAAAATATATTTATATATTTATATATAGAGCGGATTATTCTCTATACAATTTAAAGCTACTTTCTAACAATAAAAATACCCAGTTTATCATTTTAAATATCATACTTTATAAAACTTTGTACATATATAGGATATTGTAGAAGAGTAACTTTTTTAAAAGATGTTAAAATTAACAAAGGATTATTAATCTTTGTACACAAGATGGTAGATATAATAATACAAAAAGAAGTAATATGCATCATCTAAATAATAAATTCGAACGTATAATATCATACATATAATGTACAGGGTCTAAGTCTAAGATGATGTCCGCGTCGGAGTTTTCTTCCTCAAAAATTTATACGTGTCTTTTGATAACAAATAACTGACACCTCCTGCGATTGTTGTGAATGCTGTTATATAGCACAGACATTGTAGAATCGGATGGTCTACGAAATGGTAAACCGGAGCAGCCAACGTTCCAGCAACCAGAGACAATTGTATCCCAGTGTTTAGTTTGCTTGTTAAAGTCGGTGCTAATTGTACAGTAGCGTGTGTGGGATCAAAATATCTCGCTAAGGTTTTCTGAAATTATACCGCATCAAGATTAATCATTTAATTAATGAATCAATATATTTGGATAAATTAATATATAATAGAATTAATAGATATATGATACATACTGGTGGAGGTAAGGAACGGTATCTAATATAAGATGCAGCAGTTACTAGAACAACGTCACGCGTGACAACGAGACAGGTGAGTGGAACTGGTATCAAACCGACCCATGCCAGAGAAAGAAACAGCGTTCCAACAAGTAACTTATCTGCGACTGGATCCAAGAAACTTCCAAGTTTCGAGGCCTGCGATGTCCAAGTGCGTGCAATCCAACCATCCGCTAAATCACTTAATCCTGCAAATGCAAGCAACCATAGCGCTATCTGCGCCATGGTGTAGATATTGTTAAAGATAAGTTAACGTCCTACATATTAGTTGCAACAAATAAAATTAATCGAGAGAATTAATACAGTAAATTTTCGATAACAATACATTTGTATTTCTTCTAAAGGATGGAGAGAATTGTGGAAAAATTTGAAGAGTTAAAAGAAAAACTTTTATCAAAACATTACTCAATCAACTTTAATTATATCAAAATATATATAATAAATAATAATACAGAACATAATATGCCATTTGCTCGATAGAAATTATACCTTGAAAACAACATCTTTCAAATCATCATCTCAAAATTGCATGCATTTTTGCAATCTCTCTCTAAAGTTAGTTATGATATATGTTTAACAAACATATCTTTGTCAAAATGTTATATCCTTAGTCTGACGTAATTAAATTGATTGAATTGAAATTTTTATTTTATCTCTTTAAATTTTCTTGTTTTTGGGTCCAATATTATTATTAATAAACAATTATATAATATTATATAATCATATAATTAAGTATATAAATAATTATATTGATCGTATATTATTAATAGATTTAAAAAATACTAAAAACCAGATATTTTTTGTCTAAATATAAAAAAATTTTGTTTCTTGCTTCTTTAAAATACCTGATAATCTTGCGACAGAATCAAATAACTTAAAAACGGTGAAGTTACTATACGACCCATACAAAGCAAGTTGGGTATAGTCCAAATATTCTCCCTTTCGATAATTTCTTCTACTTTTCTTTTTGTATGTTTAAAATTTTGCATTATACGTATTCGCAATGCTTTCTTTTGTGTTCGTTCCCTTGTGCTGATACGCTGTCTATAACGATTTTCACTTTCTGTGACATAAAATCTGGCTTGGCACATGGGTATATATCGTATTAAACAGTGCTCTATTAGACTTTTGTTTAAAGCTGCACAGTGTTTAAATCGTAGAATGGTGAAGCAGTTCATAATTAGTTGCTCCTATGTGAGAGAAATAAAATAAAAAAATATTACTTTCATAACAAAACCTAATAAATACAAAATGTTCTTAATTATAAAGAATAATGAAATATATATTAATAAAAAATATAATTTATTGTTTAATTTTACGCAAATAATACCATTTTTATGAAATTTCAACTCTAAGCTTGATTATTAAAGCGATCGAGCAATGAAAATATTTATTAGTTTGCAGAAACTGACCGGTACCCGCTGTTGGGCCTGAAAATATTCACTTTGATGTGTTTCTTTTAATTTAAACAAAGCAGTAAATTTACTATTTAAACAAAGCAGTAAAACACTATTTTTCGTGAATTGTGGAATAATTCATGAAACGTCTCGAACATGAAATATTTACACGAAATATATGCGTATGTATTTTATACGCTCGCGAGGAGCATAACTTATTTTTGAGGTTAGATTCGTGGATAATAATGTTATTGTATGTATCGACCCAAAAAAATCGATTCACCGATCTTAAAAAAATATATAACGCTGTGTTATGTAAATTAAATTTTATTTAGGTGATAATTAATTAATAAGAATTAAAAACATCGGAAGTTCTAAATTGGAATTAAAAATTCAATTAAATCAATTTTAATCCGCGCGAAATTCAAGTCAGCTGTCTACCATAAAAGTTCCATTATATTATTTTATGCTGTAATGTCTTCGTATTCTTTCTCAGTTTATTCATTTACAATTAATTAATTCAAGATAAATTTTCTTAATATTGATTTAGGAAAGTAATTAAATATAAATTTTTTAAGGCATTTTTTAGAAATCTACAGAAACCTTTATATTATAAATTTAAAAAAAAATAAATTCTTATATATAGGGTGTCCGACGAGACTTCTGCCAAACGCTTTTTGTAGATAGAGCGAACTAAACTGAATCGAAAAGTCTTCTATCATTTTGCAATTTTTGCAATGATTAACGACGAGATATATTATAAATTACTGAAAATTGCCGAATATTGATCTTCAATAATTTTTTACTCAAATACTATCAAGAAAAACAGCAAGAAACAAAAATTGTTTATTTTCTCCTCATAGAACTATAAAAATTTTTTCAAAATTTTTTATCAACTTTTTAGTCCTGCATTTTCTCATATACATATATGTATATTGGCAACTATTTTTATCACATGAGAAAATATGGTATTTAAAAATTCTGAAAAAATTCTCAGAACTTTATGAGAAGAAAATAAATAATTTTTGTCTCTTGCAGTTTTTCTGTAAAGTTGATAGTATTTGGGTAAAAAATTATTGGAAATCAATATTCGGCAATTTTTAGTAATTATTAAAAAATATCTTGTTACATAACAAAAACACACATATACCATTGCGAGAATTGCAAAATTGTAGAGGACTTTTCGACTCACAATCAATTTAGTCCGCTCTATCTACAAAAAACGTTTGACAGAAGTCTCGTCGGACACCCTGTATAAAAATATATGAGAATTTTTTCACCATTAAGAATCTGAAAAAGTTAAAGGTATTTTTCCAGACATTATAGAATGAGAAATCTCAAAATATTTCAGAATTCACCTATATGAAAAATTAGAAGAAAAGATATAGATTTTTGAAAAATATTCCAACTTGTCTAAAAAGATCGCGAGGAAAATTTTCACGATTGTCACCGAAAGTACCCAGACAGCACAGAATATTTATGCTATGAAATATTTATTGTTATTCATGTTTTGAAATGTATAAATATTTTATACATATGTTATATAAAGCTTTATTCAAAATATTAAAAGATAAATTAAATATTTACGATAAATAAATATTTCTGTTAAGTATATTTTATTTGAAATATAATGTCTTATGAAGTATTTCCATAGCATTTACTACAAGATTTACAATAAATACTTGATAATATTTATAATAAATATTAATGATTTATGCAGTCTAAAACCACAAAACTATTTACAATAACTATTTACATATTTAAAATAAGCCTTATAAATATTTATAAATATTTTGTAAATATTTTATAAATATTGCCCAGGTAACACTTATTATTGGTTCATATACGTTTTATATACGTTTTCTAAACGTATCTAATGTTTCACAAACGTTTAAGACAAACGTATATAAAACTAACATGTGTTACTCGGTGCTACCCAGACAGCTACGCTCATACAATATTTATAAAATATTTACATAATATTTATAAATATTTATAAGGCTTATTTTAAATATGTTGTAAATATTTTTATGGTTTTAAATTGCACAGATCATAAACATTAATTATTATAAATATTATAAAATATTTATTGTAAATATTATAGCAAATGCTATGAAAATACTTAACGAGACATTATATATAATCCAAGTAAAAAATACTTATATTAGAAATATTTATTTATATTTATCATAAATATTACCATAAATATTATCATAAAATATTTAATTTATATTTTAATAATATTTTGATTAAAGCTTTATATAAAATATATATGAAATATCGATATAAAACATGAAAAAAAAGAATATTAATAGATAAATATTTATGATAAATATTTTGTGCTGTCTCTGGGAATATGCCGCTCCTGTCGCGCACGCGCGCACGTAGAAGTGTAGAACGGGTTTCAGAGTTTGAGCGCAGCAGGCGCAGGGCGCAGCACGTCGCGTTGCGTCGCGTCGGTCCGAGCTGCGAGCAACAGAGTGCCCCGTGTGTACACCCCCGCCCACGTATTATTTGTGTGTGCGGCTAGCCAGCCCGAAGCTAGCCAGCCCACGCTCTCCTCGGTGTCAACGGGGAAAGCAACCGTCTGACAGACCTCGTTTCCACGCGGATGATGCATTCGTTAATTCGCGAGAAACAATCCCGGGCGCGCTATCGTGCCGCGTAAAGAAAAACCACCTTAAATGCGACACCGCGGACGAGTATGATTCTGGCTGGATCAGACCACTTCTTGGCGGGTAAGTCCACTATCCGGCCGGACTCCCCGTGCTCCCTTTCGCCAAGACAACCCCCTAGTGACTTCAAACACGATCGTTCCGTTCATTCCTTGCGACTCGAGCGATATGTTCGTGCATTTCGTTTACGATTACGATAGAAAATAGAAATCGTCCGCTTGAAAAATTGACGAACGCGCTACTCGAACGACGGCCTCCTCTCCTCGTCTATTTTTCCTTTCAGTTGGAAATCGGACCTCGAATCGATATTGTTAGCTTCTAACTGGATCATCCCTTCAATATGCGTTCGACTTTTAAGATCGTAAGAAGATTGAAGAATATAAAAAAAAAAAGTGGCTCTCGAGCGATATCGGGAATCCTTCACGATCTCTGTATTCCGCGAGCAGATTCCCAAAATTCCTGAGCGATACGTTTTGGGAGCGCGATGTTTGTTAACGACGATGTTTCTGGAAGGTGTTTTTATTTATTTACGTTGAAATAAATCAATTGCGATTGGAAAGTTGAATAATTGGAGGACCCGCCGGTCCTCTCGGAAGGCTTAAATTTTTTTTTTTTTTAGCGTGTCTCTTGCATCGCATTTTCGAGGGAAACGTGCGTGTAACGCTGCGCAATTCCGTGTAATCCGCAGGTAGTTTGTCACAACTGGAGCGATAATAAATTATTCCAGGTCATTATACGGCGTAATATGTCGCGTTAACGCGCGCTCGATACGACGACCACGATACACTCGATATTTATCGTGGCTAAAATCCCAAGTTCAAGAGAGTAAAAGTATAATACATAAACGATTTTTCGATTTGCGTAATTATAGTTTTCTGAGAAAAGTGAAAACTTATACGGAAAGACTTGGTCTCCTTCTTTTTAAGACCGTTTTATTTAAATTATTAATTTTATTATTTAGTTATTTATTAGCTTATCTTTTTTTATTCGTGTTCTTATCTGTTTTTTATTTATGTTCTTTCGTGTCCACTTTGCTGCACTTTTCCTTTTTACTTGTTGCTATACAGAACATTCTTTATAAATACAATAATAAATATAATAAATAATAATTTTGATTTTTTAATTTTTATTGTTTTTTAAGAAACGAAAACGTACGAAAAAGATTCAGTTTACATTTTTATTTTATTTAAATTATTTTATTTTAGTCCGTTTATTATTGTTTTTTTTATTTGTGTTCTTTTAAGTCCATTTTTCTGCATTTTTTATTATATTTATTGTTGTAGAAGGTTCTTTAATTAAAGTAATAAATATAATAATTTATGATTAAATAGTAATTTTGATTTTTCGATTTTAATAGTTATTGTATCATATTTTATAAAAGAACGTACTGGCAACCGTGTTGCACTCTCGTTGCCCTTTATTAGTTTCTCTATTTGATTTATGGCATAATAATTGATGTGACGAACGTTTTCATTATCAACTTCATCTTCAGCGTTACAGTAGTTAAAAAAAGAAAAAAATTTTATGTTCTTTTGTTATATATTATTTTTATATTATTCATAATTGTAACAAATGAAAGCATTCTGCGTACATCCTGCAATATATATGGATCAAACTTTGAATCTATTCCTGATATTACGCATTAATTAATTAACTACGTGCAGTAAAATAAAGATGTTCTGCATTCAGAAGGCAAATAAGAAGTAAGAATTTTAATGTAATGTGTTGATAATTGTGTTGGGGACGGGGCAAAAGTACGATATTATTTTATAATAAAAATAATATAAATGAAATAAGAATGCATTGAAGGCTCAATCAATTAAAATAAAATTAAAAGGCTATAAGCCACGTTAGATGTTCGTTACTAACAATAAGTTATATTCCGAATATAAAATATAAACAATATCTTTATTTTAGACCGTATGTGTGAGAAACACAATCAATACTAGAAATTTAAAATGTCTACTACGGTCGAAGTTGGATCTTCGTTGCTTTAAATAATTCAATATTGAATTACTAATATATACTATGTACTTGCATATATACCATATTATAGTCTTTTTTACACACACACACACACACACACA